CAGGTTGCATCACACAAGAGGAATAACAGGAGACAAAGTCAGAGCCTATTACTGAAAGGGTAAGTATACCTTATCACTCCTCCAGAGAGTAGGATTATGTGGCCAGCTCAGTCACAAATGTGGCCTAGGCTCAGGTCCGAAGTGAAGCCATTCATGGCCTAGAAGGGCCAGCACAGGTGGCAGTCCCTAAGCTTATGCATCCATCCCTCTACCGAGACAAAGATGACCGACCTTCCTCTGCCACCCAGGGACTGGCTGAGAATAAGAATGGACATGACCAGCCTAGTAGAGCCCTGTTTACCTTATGCATGGTGGTAAAATGTGCAGAAGGTGTTCACCCTGAATGGGCCATGCTCTGATGGGTACCACCTTCACTTAGGGCAAACGAGAAGCATTTCCTTGTATCTGATCTTCTTCTATGGAGAGGGACAAACCTGCTTTCTGCCCCCCAACATTTTCCCATTAAAATTTCTCCCAGCTCTGTCCATGAGGCATGCTTAACCACACCCTCCAGGAAAGGAAACGGAGGTTCTGAGCATCAGTGTGGGACCAAGATGAGAACCAGTCTGTCCCCAGCCCATGTCCATGATGCTTCCGCCATATCTCACAAGAGCAATGTGCACCTTTGTGCAAGCAAAAGTGAGAATACGTTGGCTCCCTTCAGTCAGCCGCTAAGCCAGGTGCAGAGAACAAGTTCATCAACAGCATGGGAATCTTTAGAGCTTCAAATAGGAGGCTCTGCAGTGTGTCTGGTACAGCGGGGGCCTTCAGATTCTCTGTGTATAAGTACACTTCACTTGTGCTTTCTATTCAAGTGTTAGACACAATCTCCTCACATGCCTGATGGCAAAACTCCAACCAGGATTTTCTCAGGTTTCACTGGGCCTTAGGTTTCCCATCTGTAAAATGGAAATAGTAGTATTGATTTTTCAGAGTGTTGAGATGATTACAATGAATGTGCTGAGTCTCTGTTATATATTGATGTTCAGTTAAGAGATGCTATTCTTATATATTAAGCAAAGGCATCTCCTAGTATTTCCTGATATTTCTAGACTTCCCCTGACCTTGTCCCAATCTGGAGCTTAGACATAGTAGCATCAGGCGATTCAGGGAAGAGAAACGGCAGTAGAAAAAAAAATGTTTTTTTTAATCTCCCCAAGTTTCAACATTGGTTCCAGACATAAATACTACATAATAGATCGGAACTAACTAAACTGTTTCCTTGTCCTGAAATGAAGGAAAGACTCCACGGACAGGAGAATGGAGAGGATAGGGGACTCCTTGAAAGGCGGTCTCATGCCTTGTCACCTAAGTGTCAGGTGAAAATGCCAGGCTAGAACTGACAGATCCCCCAGTATTAGGGCCCATGGAAGAGGGGGCCTTTGTTCTCTTTTCCAGATTGGACCTGAAGAAGTGGCAAGCTCTCACTCACTCAGCATGGTGTGGGAGCAGAAGAAATATTGACCGGGCAGCCAGAAGCAGCCAAGAGCCGGTGGAAAGCCCTGAGAAAGATGTGTGCCTAGCACACGTGAGCCTTGCACAGGGAGCTGGTGAGGCTGCAGCCAGCCGAGCCAAGGGGGCAGGCAAGAGGCGCCAGGGGCCATCACACAGGGGAACCAGGACGCATTGACGGACTTCAGCCCTGAGTGAGGAGACGGCCGTCTTTGGAGGATTTGAGCAAGGGAGTGACACAATACGACAAATGACAAACGGTGTTAAAGGAGCGTGATGGCAGTTGCAGTGAAAGTAGAATTCTGGGGAGGCAGGGAAAGGGGAAAGGCCGCTGGGGACCGACCTTTTACACTGACTTGCACTGAGACGATGGAATGAAGAGGACACACCTGAACGGCTGGGGGTGGACCCCTCCAGCAGACCTTGCGGGATCTCAGAAGAAAACCCACGTGGGTTCAACCAGCAGCTAGAGCTGAGCCCTCACCTCATGCCCCGTATCCTCCGAGTCCAGGGGAACGTTCCAAAAGAGCCATCTGGCCTGCTCAGTGTAGCTAAAAGTAACAAGGCAAGACCACCCCATCAAAGTAGAAGCAAAAAAGGAACACTGATGTATTTTCCACGCTGGGTCAGAGCCAAGAGGTCCCAGCAGAGCTCTCTGTGCTAAGCCTGAGAAAAAGGGGGGAATGGCATTTCAACTATGCAAACACTCTAGAACACAAAAGGGAAAGGAAATACAATCTGCAAAAGCACAATAAAAAAACTCTGTATGGAGTCATTTACACAAGACTCAAAAACAAGATGATGAAGCAATAGGCTGGGATGAAAAGGAAGATTACTGGGTTAAGGAAACAATTGAGGGGCAAAGCAACATCCTGACGGATCAAATAAATAAGTGTCAGCCAGGGAAGGACAGGCTAGGTATGGCTAAAAATTCAAACAATGATAAAAGGAAAAAGCTTGAAAACGTCACAGTATATGCAAAGGAAAAAGATAAACTAAATAAATCAATTAGAGATGATGACAAAGAAGGACTTCAAAGTTGGCTTACATAAAGATCATTTCCATGTCTTAAGGGGAACACCCAAGAACTGGAAGGGTGTTTCAGAGATGTGATTCATCAAGGTTAGGGGTTTTTTAATACTAAAAAAAAGAAAATAGCAAACCTGCATATGGTAAACATTTAATATAGTAGAAAAATATATCATTTACATGGAGACATCAAACATACTCTGATCAACTTTAACTACAGAGAAGACTTCATCTAGACAAAAAAAAAAAAAAAAAAAGGGAGTGAGCAGGGATCACGCAGGCCCCAGATTGCTCCACACTGCTATTTTTCAAAAAGAAATTAGAGTAGTAATACCCACAAAGCCCAAATAAAAGAAAATGGAACTCAAGAATGTTAAAACTGAAGACATTCTTAAACATGAGAGAATCCAGGTACTATGTGAGCCCTTTTGGAAAAAACACTGCAAGACTAATCTAAGCACAAGATGAATTTATCAAACACACACCCCCCTCTAGAGTGAAGAAGTTAAGGTTAAAAGAACTAGAGATGAGAATTAAATCCATTTAAGTAAGTGTAAATAACAGCGCAACAGCAAACATTCTGATTGCTAAAGAGAACACGTCATCAATCATTTTAAGTACAAAATTACAAAAGTAACAACATTCAGGAGGCAAAAGAAAGGAGATGGGAGAAAGTATCAGAGTATGACCTGCTTCACCTTTACAGTAGAAGGTTAATTAGTACAACCTGAAAACTTGAAAGATGTAAGTTAAAAGGAGAAAAATAACTCCGAATTATGTGCTTTCATTAAATTTTTACTTAATCTCACTTAAATATTTGACAAAATACTATCATTGGCAATGAAGAAAAGAGCGTGATCCAAATTTCTGCAATTCTTTTAGTCTTACTTCAGTTGATTTTTCTTTGGTTACATTTAAGTGGAATTAAGTAAATATTTTTCTTCATTAAGTATGTCTAGTATAATACTAATGAGTGAGTTAGCTATTTAATCTCCCTAAATAGCCTTCCCATTCCCCAACCTTTCTATACACAGGGACATTTGGAATGATGGCTACCAAGGGTTAGTATTGGTTATTTCTCAGGGGTGGAATTTTGGGGTGATCTGTTGCTTTCTTCTTTGTACCTTAAAAATATTTTTTAAAATTATTTTATTGTGCACACGTATCAGTTAATAAGAAAAGGTTATTACATTTAAAAATGTGTATGCATACTTAAGTCTTATATAGTGATAAGTCACTACTTGACAGGGTCCTGAAATCAGAATCATTGCTCAAAAGTAACTGATGTATGGAGGGCTTGCTGTGGGTCAAGTGCTCTGCCAAAGGCCTTCTATAAATAGTGCCATTTTTTTTAAACTTCACAACTTCATGGTCATGTTCCCATTTTCAAGATGAGGCAATTAAATAGTCAAAGGGATGTAAAGTGCAGCACAGGGAATATAGTCAATAATATTATAATAACTGTGTATGAGCCAGATGAGTACTAGTCTTAGCAAGACAATCACTTTGTAAGTTAAATCTATTTCTAGTCACAAGGTTGTACATCTGAAACTAATATAGTATTGTATAACAACTGTCACTGAAATTTTTTTTTTAAATCTGTCTGAGGTCTTTATATAAGGTTTTATAGTCATGAAAAAAAAAGATGAGGAAATAAAAACGCATTTGTGTTAAGTGATGACATCACACACTTCCAAGTGGCTGAGGGGGAGCTCAAATCCATGCTTTCAATCTCAAGCCTACTTATTCATTTATCAGTTGTATACCAAGGCCACACTCTGGCCCACACATTACGTGTGCTCCAGTGTGGCACAATTCCTAGACTTCCTCCTCATGACTAATTTCAAGAATTTCCTCTTTTGATGGCTAAAGAAAAGTGTATGGCAATATTTCATACTGATTCAGGCTCTAAACCATCCCAAAATGGTACATTTATGCAGCTTTCTATTTGTTTTCTCTTTCAAAATGAAATAGCCACTAGTTTTACATATATGCTAAAATATGATTTATTTTATTAAAAAAAAACAAAGTGTACTGAAATTGGAATCAGGGATTTTGTTTATAATTTTTGCAGCTGCATGTTTAAGCTTTGTGTACTTTCTGTGTGTAGCTGTATTTCACAATTTTTTAAAAGCTGTTTGAAAGACTGCTAAATGCAAGCATGATTTACCAGTTTGTTTTACTCAATACATTAAAATTTGAGCTGTGATAAATAGTAAAACAGATTAACTTCAATTATATAAATGTGTATAGGGTTATTTATAATTTACCTATTGCTGTGTGTCAAATTACCCCCCAAATTAGCACCTTAAAACAACAAATATTTATGATCCCACAGACACTGGGTCAGGTGCAGGCACAGCCTATCTGGGTGCCTGTGGCTCACTCTCGCTCACAAAACCAGAGTAAGTGCGTTGACCAGAGGGGGTGCGCAGGTAGGGTTGCAGCCCTCCCTACGCTCAACTGGGAGGAGCTGTGTCCAAACTCACCCACATCTCAGGTCTTCGCTGGCTGTTGATCGGAGTCCTCAGTTACGTTGCCACGTAGATCTCTCAACACGTCTACGCACAAGGTGGCAGTTAGCTTCCCCCAGATGCAGAGAGAAAGAGAGAGCCAAGATCCAAGCCACACTCTTTTTATAACCTAACCTCAGAAGTTATATTCATTTCTGCTTCATTTTATCCATGAGAAGTGAGTCACTCACTTGAGCCCTCACTTACAGAAAGGCTATCACACAGGGTAGAACTAGCTGGTGGTGGTGGGGAGGGGTCATTGGGAGTCATGCTGTAGGCTGCTTACTGTAGGTGGGAGAGCCATGTACCATAATGTCAGCAGCAGTTGCCTCTAGTAGCACGTTGGAATTATGGGTGTTTTTATGTTATTTTATTGCTTCTCTGCTTTTCTGAATGTCCATGATACAGAGGTAGAACAGGTTATAAACACAGGCTCTGGGTTTAAATTCTGCTCTGTCGGGGGGGCTGGATTGGGAGTAAAAAGGAGAAAACTGTATTTGAACAATGATTAAAAAAAATTAAATAAAAAAATTTCTGCTCTGTCACTTACCACCTGGATAAGACATAGCCTAACTCAGCCTAAATTTCTCCAGTGCCTAATTCTTATGATTATTGTGAAGAGCAGTGTGACCTATATGTAAAGTGCTTACATAGTAGTGCATTTTAAGAGCTTATCAAATATGGACAAATTACACTGATACAAAAAAGTATTATCCCATTTATACTTACATTACATTTGCATTAGTAGGACAGGGCTATGAACACATAAAACACAGGAAAAGGAGAGCACATGATGTAAGCAAATGCTACATTTGGCAGAGCAGACCATAAGAAGACAGTAGAATAAAGAGAAACTGGAAGCTGGGCAGTTGTGTAGAGGAATGCATTTCAGAGGAGGTGGGTGGGCTGTGGACAGGCTGAAGGCCAGGTTAGAGGGTCTGAAATCCTGGCCAGTTCATGTACTGAGCGTCCCCTCCACGCCAGCCTCTGAAAATACAGTGTTGCATGAGGCAGAATGTCTGCCTTCAGGAAACTCATAGTCCAGCAGGCATGGATGGCAATAGAGATCCTCTCGAACTATTTGGTGACTTTGGAGATAAGAGTAAGCACTTACTCAACAGCTGTTTATTGAGCACCTATTATGTTTAGCTAAGACAGGGGATACCAGAAATCACTGCCCTCAGAGAGGTCATTACAGGAGATGGGCAACTGAACAGGCAGTCTCGAGACAGTGTAATAAATGCTAAGAGGAGCAGAGCGTCGTTTAAAAGAGGTTGCATGTGCTGAGAGAGCACAGGGGAGCAGAGGTGCAGTTTAGGGACTCGAGGAGGGTTGTGTGGGAATGGTCCTGGCTAAGCTGAAACTATGTCAGTCAAGCCAAGGGTTAGGCGAGGAGAGTTCTGGCAGAAGGAATACGTTAAGGACAGGGTGCTATGATAGCCCAGAGAAAAATGACATGACTGGCAGACAACAGGCTAGAGAGTTTAGACCGCTTCATCAAGACCAGGTTACGGAGCATTCGAAATTGCAGATGACAAAACATGGGGTTCATGTTTAAAATTCACGGACAGCAATGATGTCGTGGAAGTAGATTCTCTGTTTAAGGATGAACTTGTGTTTCTTTCAGAGGAAATATGAATAAGTGGTGAGTTCAGCTGCTGGGGAGCAGATGACCTGGACATCAGAGTTCGCTTGGAGTAGTTTGCCCAAGGTGATTTCCTTAAACCCAGTAACATCTGGGTCAGAAGTCCGTGGTAGCGCATTCTAAGTTCTGCGGAACCCTGTGACACTTGTAGAAACGATTAGTTTCACATGTCACAGAGTGTCACAGAGAAGGCCAGGAAAGAGTATGCTCAAAGCCAATTAAAAATACAAGGACTCAACTGGATCCTCAAAGAAGGAGGAACCAGTGGGGGAGGTGCCAACAAAAGCAGAGTAGAGCCAGAAACAGAATGGGGGAAATTCCTAGTCCCCAGCAAAGTGCAACAACCATCTGATTTTACTATTCCAGAGCAAGGTGACTTTGAACAAATCCCTTAATCTTTTTGACCCAATTTTCACATCTGTGAGATAGGAATAATAACCACTACTTCACAGGACTGCTATAAGGATAAAATGAGATTATCTCCGTGAAAGAACAAAGCACTGTCCAACTGTAAGCTAATTTCACTATTACTATTAGACAGGAAATAGAAGGTGATTGTGAAATGTTTAAATTCCGGAGTCCAAGCTTGGATTCAACTTCCAGTCTTTCAATTACTAGCTGTATGACCTTAAGAAAGTCACTTGACTTCTCTGAATCTCCAACTCTTTATCCATAAAAGGGGAAAAATAATAGTAGCTATTTCATAGAGGTTTTATGAGCACTAAAACAATGCAGGCATGTAACAAACTCTCAGTAAATATCAGCTGTTATTAGCAGCAATCACTGTAATAGCAGCATCAGTAGGAGCAATAGTGTTTCTAGACTCTATGACCCTGATTTTTATAAGATGCACATAGGCCTGGCTGGTGTAGCTCAGTGGATTGAGCTTGGGCTATGAACCAAAGGGTCGCCAGTTTAATTCCTAGTCAGGGCACATGCCTGGGTTGCAGGTCTCAGTGTGGGCCATGTGGGAGGCAACCACACATTGATGTTTCTGTCCCTCTCTTTCTCCCTCCCTTCCTCTCTCTAAATAAATAAGTAAAATCTTTTTAAAAAGTCATCTATAAGAAAATTTAAAAAGCATATATAATTAAAATATTTTTAAAAAGATGCACATGGGGATGGAAAAATAACATATTCATGTAAACAAGATTGAATTAGAACGTCCAAGTAAGTACATGTATTTTGTGATTTTTGGAATCTAGTAGCAAGGTTGCTCGGTCAAATACGAGGAAACAGGCTTGGAGAAGTGACATGAGTTTCTTATGAACACACACCCAGAAATGGCTAAGTAAGGAGTTGGCCTCAAGTTTCCTGCTGCTACATTCAGTGCTTTCTCTGATAAGCTGAGCTGTCTCTGCATGCTGGGTCTGGCACGCTTTAAAGAGGATAATTTGGAGATCATTTCACCAGAAATTTCCCTTAGGTTGAGCTAAAATCAAACTGGATGATAGCAAGACTTGCTGTTGTTTTAAAAAGCTTTGTCTTGTCTGGTTGTCTTTCAGCTTTCTCCTCCAAGAAGAAATTTTCAATTAACCATTAGCTTATGTTGCAAACATTTGGTCTTAAATGTACTCATTCATTCTCGTAGGTGATTAAGGATGATGGGTGTATAAATACACAAGTACATAAATGACAAGCCAAACCGTGTACATATGGTAATTTAATTTTGAGATGAGTACCATGTTTATGCGTTTCTATCAGACCGCCTCCTTTCCAGGAACGTGCAATTTCTTACCCACCGTTTTATCACTGCCAATATACAAGAAAATACCCTAAGTGCAGTCAGTACTAGAGGAAACCATCGATGCCATCCAGATAATTCACAGCTGGGGAAAATAAACAACGAGGTTCTCTCTGGACTCTCAGTCTGGTGAGCCGATGTTCCCGGTGGCATTAATGCTTCACTGTTTAGCGGGCGTCCAGGGGTCTGGAATGTGCCCTAACATTGAAGTAACATTGGTCCTAATGGGAGTATAAGATTTAAGATGAAGTTCTATCATTTGACCGAAAACCGCCAAGAATACTCGTATTTCAGGAACAACCACAGATGATAGAATTTTCAAGTTAGTGAAACAGAGAGAGGGGACACCAAATACAGCTACGTGAGACGAACCAGGGCCAAAGAGGAGAAAGCGCATTTCAGAGAGCGGGGATGGGCTGAAAAATCGAATGTCTCCGTGCAGGGACCTACAGGAAGTTCGGTGCTGATGCAAACGACATGGCGGACAGGGGACAGGGGTGGGCCAAGGCCAGGTTGTGGAGGGTCTTGCGTACTACAAAGAGATAGGCAGACTTTTTCCTGAGGCCGTGGCAGAGATTTTAGGCAGCCTGTCTAGGTGTGCATTTTAGGTAAATCACACCAGTGGAAATGTGGAGAGGAGCTGAAAGTATGGTGTCTTATCTCAACAACAGGCCAGAGCTCTCAGCGTTCTCAGCTCTGCATCTGCTGTTGAGCTTCAGTCACTGACGCTTCCAGACCACCCCTGGAAATCGTCCCTGACCATGATGAGCAGAGTTGAAACGTTAATAGGTTTCTTGGGGCTGAGCGCTAAGAGATGGGAGCCTATCAGGTCTGATGTGAAACTCAAACTGAGACTCTCGTGGCCATACATTCTTGTAGGTCTCTTTGGCACCCCTCAGGGTGCTGGATAGAGCTGAGCTGTTGTACGACTGTGGGTTTTGCAAGCTCGAGCTCCCGAGTTCCTTTCCTCCAGCTGCCCCTCACCAGACCTCACACTGCAACTTCACCCCTCTGTGAAACTCTGGGGTCTGAGGGTTTGAAGTAAAACTGAAAGTGTCAAAAGAACCACAAGTCACCCCTGCTGTTATATTCTTTGTCAACTTCTCCTGCCAAGTATACCCTCTTCTTCTACTGCATGTCTACTTCACAGATGTTGGGTTGACACAGATTCTGGATGCCGCACTGAAAGAATCCGGGCTTAGGGTTCAGGCACTTGCTTTCCGTTTTGATTCTGCAGCTTCCTGACCATCTGATCTGTCAATCCACGCAACATGGTGAGCCTCACTTTTCTCATCTGCAAGATAAGCATTGGCTAGATGCTGCCTGAGGGAGCTTTGAGCACTCCTGTTCCGTGACTCTGAGAACATCCCGTCACTCATTATTGCTCTGGATGCTGAAGAGGAATCAAATAAAACAAGCCACAAGGCCACCATCATGAGAGCCGTAATACTGATAATTGGCAGGTACCCAAATGACGTTTCAGGCAACTGCTCAGGGACATGAAAACCTCCTCAGCTCTGTTGTCTCGTGAGAAAAGAGGCTACAGAAAAAGTACAGTACGGTCTCATTTTCATAAAACAAACATGTATTGCACATTAAAAAAATACACAAAGGACAATCTCATGGTTATCTCTGGTAACACATTTTCTTTTTTTGTTTCTTTTTATGTTCTTATTTTTTTAACAAGAGGTACATGATTTTTACAATAATAAGATTAATTTTCTTGAGCATCATGGACCCATTGACCATTTTTGTATGGAGAATTAATGAAGACTTTGCAGATGATATGATATTTAATTTGGAATGTGATGGTCAAATAGGAGTAATTCATTGCTCGGTAACCCCTCCAGCCACGCATTATCCCGCTATTTTCTTTTGAATACATCGTGCTTTCACACGAGTAAGCACTGACTTCCTCCACTGAAGCGTACTCCGCTGGAAAGCACATGACAATTCTCCTGCCTCCTCTCCAAAAATCCCCCCCGGAATATACAGAGTAAATACACTGGCACTTGTGAGGGGTTGAAATGAGAGGTGCTGATTAACACAACTCTGTGGGCATTTGTGAAAAAAGTCCTGCCTCTGACTTCTCAGTGGCTGAAGCACCAGTCTCCCAAATCTTAGGTCGTAAGTTCACTTTCTGCTTCACTCGGCTTCGCTGTTTTCTTTCGTGGCTTGAACCAAGATCCCAAACAAGGGAATGGCAGTCCTTTCACAGGGGAAGCTGAGTAGAGGCAGGGGAATAAACACAAAGCACAAGAGACCTGACATGTGGACAGATGGTTCTGCCCTATGCACAAGCAAGGCGTCACAGCGGTAGGGAAGAGAGATGGAAGGGATGAAGGAAGGAGTAAAGAAGGGAGACCGCCCACTTCGCTGACCTAAGCTAAAGCAAGGTAAAATCAGCTTGGGAAAAGAACAGTTGTTGGGTGTACTGCACCTCTTTAAATATCACCTATCTACATGCCAACAAAGCCCACGTTTGTGTCTCCAGGCCAGGCGCATGTCCCTAACTCCAGACTAACATGTTCAATTCTCTACTTGATATGTCCACCTGGATACCTAAGCCAACCTCTCAAAGTCAACATGTCCTACACTGAACTCCTGTTCTTTGCTCCCTAAACTTAGGCCATCTGCAGCTTCCCCATCTCAATAGATGACAAGCTCATCTTTCTGGTTGCTCAGGCTAAAATCTAGGAAAAGGTGTCTTTTGTGCTGGTTCTCTCTTTTAGATCCCACATTCAATTTGTCAGGAAGTACCATGGTTCTACCTTCGGAAGATATTAGAATCCAATGACTCCTCACCAACCCCACCACGACCATCTGGTTCAAGCCATCATTATATTTCACCAGTATTACTGCAATAACCTGACTTTCCCTGTCCTTCCTTAACTTCTGATAGTTCCTATAAGCACTACAGCCAAAGTGATCCTCTTGTGACATATATTATTTTATGACCCCCTTCCCACTCAAGGTATTGCACTGGTTCCTTATTTCACTCAAATAAAAGTGCAAGTTTTTGTAGCCAGTGGAGAATAGAGGACTTAATATCTATTGACTTCTACTAGGTTAAGATTCTTTAGTTAATAATCTTATTTAATTCCCCTTAATCTATCAACTTTTCTCCTTTCATTATGTCCTACTCCATTATAAAAAGTGTCACACATAGTAAATGATCATAGTATGTTGACAAACATCCTCATCATTATCATCATCATGACATTCCGAATTCTATCTTTTGAGTCTTCGTTTCAGTTTCCATGGGTCAGGTCATGTTCTTTTTATTCCTTTATTCATACACCAAGGAAAGAGAATTTTGTGCAGCAAGTCTGGAGAGTTAAATTCAGTGGGCAGTAATTGTGTTTCTTCTTTTTAAAAATTGTTACCTATTTGTTCTCCCCATCTGCTCTCTGTAGCCATTCCCAAGGAAATGCTCGGTTCATTGTGTTCCTACCCAATTCCCTTCCCACCCACAATTCAGTTATTCTACTTGCCAATTATCTGTTTCCAAGTGGCTTCTCAAGTCCTTTGTGTAAATGTCAGTATGTTCTAACTCAGCATTATTCCCTAAATGGTTCACATTTGTCCTTGAATACAATTATTTTTCTCCCTTTTCAGAAAGTACTCAGTTTGGTCAGCTATTCAGTCAACATGTACTTGTTTAGCACTCAGTGTAGGCCAGTCCCTACCCAGGAACTGGGGGCAGAGAAAGAGATAGGACACTCGGCCTGTTGTGGTACACCAGTGGGTAAAAATGAGAAGCAAGGTAATTCTGATCTATCCCTAAAATAGAAGTATCTGAACTAGAGGGTTCAATCAATCTCCATTTTACAGATATTAAAACGAAATCCCTGATTTTTTAAGGCAGTTTCCAGTTTTTATGCCAATTATTTTTATCTCAACAGCTTTAACATTTTAAAATGATTGTGTGTCCCTTTAAAAATACTATTTTAAAGCAATTTTAATGTTTCACAATTTTGTTCGTTTAATATTCCAATAGGGCTTCTAATTAGCATGAGGTTGTGTCACTATACTAAATTTATTTCACTCCAGCAACATTAGAAAAACTTGACATTTTGCTGAGCCTATACATTAATCAGAAAACTAAGCATATTTTTTCCATTATAATCTCTACAATATTTTTTTGTGTGGACTCTTGGGAATTCAGGAAGTACAGTTTAGGAAAACTTGCTAAGATGGAAGAATAATGCCAGTGTCAAAACCAGAGCCATGCATCTGATAGTCTGCTCCTGTCTCATGATATATCATTCATTCAACAACCATTCCTTGGCCCTATCTGTGCTCCGGCCACTCTTATATGCACTGTGATACAAAGAGCTACAGAAGCTCCTGGGGAAGAAGGGGGCTGAGAATTGTGGGCGTGTGAGCTGCAAACCATTCAAAGCAGTTAGACCAAGTAGAGGACTAGCGAACAGAGGGATGGAGCAGGTAGGAAGGGATCTCGGATTAAAATTATTTATATTGCATTTCAAGAGACGTGAGAGGCCATTGAGGGTTTCGAATGAGAAAAATGGCATGATCACCTTATGTATCCCCAAGGCAGAAATGTAGAATGTATATTAACATGGGGGAAGAGGTCAGAAACATGTAGACCAAATCAAGACTATTGCAGTAATCTAAGCAAGAATATATAAAGGCTAAGACAGTGGGAAGGGAAGAGATATGATAAATATTTAGGATATTAGGTAGGATTAGAAGGGCAATAAGGATGAGTTATAAATTGTTACATGTGTCTTAACAGTCAATTTATCAGTCACTCCCAGTCTCCTTCTTGAAATCAGTGTTTCATGTTCCACATGACCCTCTACAAGCTGGCTTCAGCTTACGGGACAATGGGTAAACACCTGACCCCCAAATGGGCTAAATTTTATTCCCTGGAAATCTTACAGTAAGACATTGAGACTTAATTCACCAGAAGGTCCTGAAGATTAAGGTTGGTGTTAATGGAGGCTTAAGGGCCAAAGGCATGTTGGACCAGAAACACATAGTTGACTGTGGTATCTAGGGTGGAGAATGGAAATGACTCATAAAGAGGGAAAAAACGAGGAAATATGTCATCCCAGAGGTGGAGCAAGGGAGAGAGGGATGGGGAAGAGAGAGAGAGGGACAGAGACAGAGATGTGGGTAATTGGATCTCTGAATCATAAGAAAACAAATTGGCAATCGTTTTTCTACAAAAGCAGCAAGATTTGCCCATGCCACCTGAAGAAAGTGTGAACAGAACATGGTACTCCATCCACTTCAGAAGAAGAGAACCTGATAAAGAAGATGTCAGGAGGCACTGTGACCCAGGACACTACACGTGGCCCAAGGAAGTTGTGACACATAGTGCTTTAGAAATGTGACAAATCAAAGTTTTTTTTTAAAGAAAGGAAGCCCTCCAGGAACAATTGGGTAACCACAGTCATTAACTTTACACATTAGTTTAGCAGCAGTAAATTGCAACGCCACAGTTTGGGGTTGGAGGTTTTGTAAATAATAGTTGTGGTGAAGGGTTAACAACAAGCGCCATTGAAGAAAAAATTAAAAATGCATTTTTGCTAGTCCTTGTTCAGGTGGACAAAGAGACACAGAAATCAGTAAGACATTTCCCAACCATGGAGAAGCTTATACTCCAGAGATCATGACAATCTAATGCTAAATGTTACAGTGGAAGTGTGACAAACAAACAAACAAACAAAAACAAAAAAACACAGGAATCAAGACAGGGATACTTACACAAGGCAAGGAGAGAGGGAGAAGTATTTTCCAAGGAGAAGGCACGTGATTATTACAGGATAAGCAGATGTTCCCTGGACAACTACAAGTAGAAGAGTATGCATGAAGGAATTATCACACATTTCCTCCTAACAGTATTTCATACACATAGATAATTATTTTAAAACAGAACTTTAGCCCTGGCTGGCGTAGCTCAGTGGATTGAGCGCAGGCTGTGAACCAAAGCATCGCAGGTTCGATTCCCAGTCAGGGCACATGCCTGGGTTGCAGGCCACGCCCCTAGCAACCGCACATTGATGTTTCTCTCTCTCTCTCTTTCTCCCTCCCTTCCCTCTCTAAAAATAAATAAATAAATAAATTTTAAAAATGCTTATTCCATTCAGTGAATTAATGCAAAAGTTTAAAAAAAAACTTTAAGCCTCTTGAAAGTAGGGTCTAAATATTTTTTTATTAATGAGCTAATATTTTCTTACTTTGAGTTGTAACCAGCCTTAATATATCAGGTGGTGCCTTCAGAGTGGTGAGGCCCACACGAGCTTTGGAGTCCAACAGTCTTGCCCACAAGTTGCAGTTCTGACATTTCCTCGTGGTATAATCTTGAGAATGCTGCTAAAATATCTCTTTACCTCAGTGTTCTAAGACAGGGGCTGCTACCTGCTTCATTGGATACTTTTGAGAATGATACCATGTAAAACACACAAAGTGCCTCATGTTCTTCTGGTTAAAACAGAGAATACTCAAAACAAGTTACTTTAGGAAAAGCTTATGCCTTATGTTTCATTATCCAATAAAATCACCTCAAAACTGTAAATAGGTTGATAGATGCAATTCATTCATTCACGCCTTCTTTTTAAAATATTACAGAAAGTTGAGAAAGGAAAATTCCCTACCTCCATGTCCATCCACTTGAACACCCACCTCTCACATTTCTCCAAAGCTCCCTTCCATTCTTATCTCCCTACCTACAATTTAAAACAGACAAATTCTAGCACATTCTACTTATATGTTCTTCAGTTCAGCTAACATTACATACAGATATTTTCTCTTTTGTTATGTTTTTTCTTTTAATTAATACTCAATATTTTTTTTAGTTCTGGCAGGTCATAGTTTACTCAACTTGTGCCCTATGGTTAGCTATTTGAATGATTTATAATCTTATACTTTAAAAAATAGTATTGTATTGCTTTAATTTATTCTACAAGCATTTATTGAGCATCTACTAAGTGCAAGACACAATTTTGCCATGAGGTGTTAAGAAGTTTATTCCAGCGGAAGTTCTGTTTCCAAGTAGTTTTCAGTCTAGTAAAAAAAAAAAAATGGCCAGATCATTAGGTAGATAAATACATGCAAAAGAGGAACTGCATGGGTGCTGTAAGAGATGCCCAGTTACACTTCTAGAACAAGTGGTTCTGCTCGGCTGTGTTCATGATTAGTGGAGCAAAACACAAGGAGATGCACTTGGAAGAGTTGGGGCAGATCATGTAAGTCTTCAACCCCACGTTAAAGATCCTGAACCACTTTCTATGACCGATGCTTTACAATTCTTTGAGGCGCCACAGAATAATGATTAAAATAGCCAAACCCTGACTGGTGTGGCTCAGTGGGCTGGACATCGTCCCACAGACCGAAAGGTCACTGGGTGAATTCCCCACCTGGGCACATGCCTCAGTTGGGGGCCTGGTCCCTGGCTGGGGACAACTGATGGATGTTTCTCTTCCTCTCTTGATCCCTCCCTTCCCCTCTCTCTAAAAATAAATAAAATCTTAAAAAAAATAAGAGGCCAGATCTAACAATAAAAGTTTTGTTAAATAAATTGGGATGTTTACAAATGATGAAATACTGTAAAGCCATTAAAATAAGTGATAGGATAAAAACGAATAGCTTGAAAATGATTTATAATATGATCCACAAAGAAAGTTAAAATCATAAAACAATATATCCAGTATGATCTCAATTTCGTATCAGAAATAAAATGGTGAAAAAAGATGGAAACATTTGCTCAGCAATTTCTTTGCAGTTATTTCAAAGTAGAGGAATTATTAGTGATTTCATAATTTTCTTTGTGCTTGCTTTCTCTTTTTCATTTTTAAATTGAGCACTTAATACATCCCTAATTGTTCAGTATTTGGAATGCTTCCAATTTCCATTATTGGAAGGAATGGCTGGAAGCACATTCTTGTGCATAAATATTTGTACGTGTCTCTGTTAATTCATGTTGAGTAGAATTTTGGGATCGAGAAGTATTCCCACAGGGTGTATATTACTTTATGATTTAAAATTTTAACTTAAAGGGAAAAAAATGGCACTAGAACCAAACTACCTATGTTTCAACGTGAAATGCACCATTTCCTAGAATATCACCTCCAGCAAGTTCCGTTGGTTTTCTATGCCTCAGTTCACTCTTTTTAAGATGAGAATATTAATTGCTCCTTCCCCATGGGGCTATTGTGAAGATTAGATGCATTAATTCCTAAGGGTTTACAACAATGTCTGGGACATCTTGAGAGCTTAACAAATGTAAGAAACCATAAATTTTTATCGATGATAATACAACAAAAAGTTTTCTTATTTTGTTTTTCCCTGGTACATTTTTCAATAATTTCGTGCTTTTCTATGAGGGCAGAATCTCATCCCCTCTAATGAACGCTTTCCTCTCACAATTTCTTCCTATCATCACTGCAGAAAAATGCTCTTTAAAGATCATTCTCAAGTTATAGGATGCACACCATGTCTTCTTCTTCTTGACATGAAAACTTATTTTGACATATTCCTTGAACTATCCAACCATTGCTCACAATGTATTTTGGCATGGAAGTTGGGATGTAAGTTCTACGGTGTCAAAGCCAATTCTGAGAGAACACTGGGATCCCTAAAAGATTTCAAGCTTCGCTTTTCCAGGGACTATTACAGCCCAGACAAGCACTTGTTCCCATCATTTCCCTCTGGGTCCCACTGAGCCATCAGATGAAAAGTGGGAAAAGGGGTCTTCTCTCTAAAGCAGAGGGCACTCCTGCTAGAAGCAATTCCTTCTCACCAGAGAAAGCATCCTTTAATTTTTCTTTAGTTTTTGTAGAATATAATCTTATCACATCAAATATTCTCTTACCCAAAGCCGTATTTGCGAGAGGAGGCTCCTGAAGAATTCAGAAGTATTCTGTATGCCAGCAATAGAAGTGAGTCCTTTTCACAGCCCTTCCTCTTCCCCACTGCACATCTGCATCTGATCAAAGAATACATGTGACTCACAGGAAGGAACTAAGGACTGGAAATCGGGATACCTGGTCTTTAGACTTGCTCTGCTACTAATTATCTGGGTGACCTGTTCTAACAGTTACGGCGCTTCTCTGAACTACAATTTTCTATCCATAGAAATGAGACATGGATCAACTGACATCCAAGGTTCCTTTGGATCCAAACATTCTAACATGTTTTTCCTTACTTTATTATTTCCTTCGAGACTTGGCTCAGAGTTTGGAACGCAATACGGCGTCATTAAATCTTACAACAAAATTCCCCTTAGCGCTTGGAGAGAGAAAGTGAAAATTCACGTGCTAATATTCTCTTGCTTAGCACACGACCCAAATTTATCAGGTACCTCTTATGTGTCAGGTACTGTTACATGGCAGGGACATGTTATGAGCAAAATACAAACCACCTCTGTCTTTTGAAATATATGGGAGATCAGATAATTAAGCAAGTGATGATCATTCAGTTTGATAGGTGCTGTGACCCTGGGATAGCCAGCTTGCAGAGGCTGTAGCATCGAAGCTGGACCAACAGTAGAAAGACACGGAGATGTTGGTTCCTTTAGACCACACTCCCTGGCCCTTCCCAGCTAAGGCAATGGAGATGTTCCTCCTTTGCGCTCCCCTGACACTCTGTGCTCATGGCTGTCCAATCCTGTAATGCATGGCATTGACAGTGTCTATACACACATGTCTACTCCCATTAAACTGCCCAGACCTCAAGAAGAAGGACCATTTTAATTTCATTTTGTGCCTCCACCTACCACCCACCACCCATCTAGCACATAGCACAGGTCTTAATGCAGAGTTGGGGCCCCTAAAATGTTTGTTGACTAGAAATTAAAGTTATCCACTTAAATTTTTAGGAGAACAATGACAGGTGGTAGGATGCAGGATCTAATCAGAGTTAATTCTTTGATTATCTTCAGTCTCATGCGGAGGTGTTTTTTTTTTTTCCTTCCAGCCTATCTGTAATGTCTTCCTTTAAAAAGCCACCAGAAAGCATTGAAGCTGAAAGAGATGCCACTGGCAAAAGGCCTCTGACCTCTCTGCAAAGAGGTGACCACATAAACACACAGAATAATTGGGCATCCCTCTGGCGCTCGCAGGGAGCACAGGAGATCTGAGAGGTCTGGCTGTTATTCTGTAGAACTACCTCAAATGTGCATCCTCTGTTCTTTCCCATCTACACTGAAGACAGGGGGATGCTGGGGGGCCAATCATTCCGTTCCATAGGCACTGTGTGAACACGGGCACAGAAATGTGAGCAAGCGTTGACTCTTCTGTAAACTGTCGAATGACAAGGAGGCAGAGTCCATGTGGCGTGAATCAGGGACTAGAATGGGGCAGGGCAGCCAGATAAGCGAAAGTTCATTGTGATTCATGGACTGTACATTTCACCCTGGGGTGCAAGAGGGGGAAATGACAAATCCGTATAGCATGCAAACACCTTTTTTACAATGAAAAAAATGTGTAAAAGGCAAATGAGCTAACAGTACATAGAAGCCTTCAAAAAACCAAGGCAACACACAAATATAAGTTATGCGTTCCCTCAGGCTAAAGGAAAAAATGAAGCTTCAAATTAAATATTGTTTCTAGGCACATCGTATTTATTCATTTTATTCGTACAGTGATTTATACCTATTTTTATTTGAAACATCCATTATTCCCCCGAAAGCGAGGAGGAGGAGGGTAATACGAAAGTTTGCTGAGCTGAGGGAGAGAAGCAAGTCAAGATCATTCAATTCAAAAGTATTCTGTAATGTAAGAAGTCCAACCCATTTTTTTTTGGCTTAACTCTTCATGCTCATATATCTTTGGGTAAATTTTCATTCATTTCTGTGCTAAGATTAGTGGCTGAATCCAAGTACATTGTGAGTGTTCGCTGGAGAAGTTCCCCTTTTGCTTCTGTTTTGGGTGTAGGCTCTCTGTGGCTGCCATTTTGAGAGTTCTAAAAATAATCTGTAAAGACAGCTGATCCACGAAGAGAAATGTGAGGTGAGGAAGGAATTCAGAGTCAGTAGTTTGAGTTGTTGCAGTTTTCCCTCTTGACTGGGCGGGACACTTAAAGATCCACGTAACAGACATTCTTGTCCAGAGTCTTGCGTGAATTCTCCAGATTCCATTTTTCCATCTGATAAGTGGGGCTCACTTCTGAGACAAGTGACTCAGTGCTCTATCTCAAGTCAGCAACTATGGTGCCCGGACCAAACCCCGGGTGCCACTGGTTTTTGTATGGTCAGAGAGTTAAGGATGATTTGCATTTTTTAATAATTGGGGGGAAATCAAAACTATAACAGTGTTTTGTGAAATGTAAAAATGATATGCAATAAAATTTCACTGTCCATAAATAACATTTTGTGGACGTACGGCCACAACCATTCATTTACCTGTTGTTCTCAATGCTTTCCACTATGTCTTTGTCAGTTCAGCCTGCTACAACACAATACCTTAGACCCGGTGACTTAAACAAGATAAATTTATTTCCCACAGTTCTGGCATCCGGGAATTCCAAGATCAAGGTGCTGGCAGGTGCAGTGTCTAGTAAGACCCCTTCCTCTGGTTCATAGACGGCCGTCTCCTTGTTCTGTCCTCCCATGGTGAACAGCAGAGAGAAATCTAGTCTTTTTCACTTCTTATAGGCTTCACCCTTACGACCTCATCTAAATCTAATTACCTCCTAAAAGCCCTTCCTCCAAATATCATCATGAGGCGGGGTGGTAGGGTTTCAACATATGGATTGGAGGGCGGACACAAACATGTAATGCACAACACAGTGCAACGGCAAAGAGCAGTAGCTGCGACAGGGAGCACATAGCCTACAAAGTCTAACGTGTTTACTCTCTGACCCTTTACAGACAAACAGCCCTATGAATGAACTACTGCACTTACCCATTTAACAGGTGAGGAGACTCAAGCACAGAAAAGGACTTGCTCTGTTTAACTATCACACAGCTAGGGACTGGGTTCAGGATCCACACCACCCAGACAGCTACTCTTACTCCATATAACGCTGTGTTGATCTTCCAAGGTGTCATTCAAAACCCACTGAATGAGTTTGAAGTCCAGTGGCCTCTGAGAAGTCTTTCTCCACTATTTCAACCTCTGTTATAGTAGTCTCCTATCACCCTGGTTTCGCCTTTCTGTGGTTCAGGTTACCCATGGTCTACTGCAATCCAAGGATATTAAATGGAAAATTCCAGAAGTAAACAATCACCAGTTCTAAATCGTACATCCCTCTAAGTAGTGTGATCACCTCTTTGTTTGCATAGTGTATCTATGCTACATACAGTGCAAGTCAGTCCCAAGGAAGATGGAGGTGAAGTAAGGTGAAGTTGGAGAGTTGGAAGCCTGCCCTGTGACCCCACATTGCCTGGCAGAATGTAGCAGCCCATGGGACATGAACTGAAGCACTTTGTGAATTACAAACACCCCTCAGAGGTAACTGATTAGTCCAGTTCTAAAAACTTATATCTTGATATGTTTTGTTCTTCATCCTTTTTAAGTTTTTAGAAAGGTAATATAGTACGTACAGAAAAATTATGAAATACCCCAGCAGGGATGAGAGCAGGAAAGCAGTGAAACCCAGGAGTAGTAAATCATAAGTCATTGAGAGAGTACAACAAAGGAAGTCTATGTGGCTGATTCACATAGAGTTTTCTTTTAATTATCAAATGAGGAACTCTACCAACCTGGGTGGGGATTTCAACTTGAATGGTCTAGCTGAAACTGAGGGGGAAGTGAAAGTCAAAGGAGAGAATGAAATGCTGATTTTGAGTGGAAACCCTACATTATTACAAACTATCTGGGTGGGTTTTCAAACTCCTTAAGATCTGTGTTTCAAGAAAAAAATGTCTCACCGTTTGGTGGGTGGCCATGAAGACATACTGCTTGAGTCTCCTGTGATGGGAAGTACAGCTGCCAGATGCCCCAGCTACGGTCCACTCCTGTGTTTATGTCCAGGCCACACTGCCCTTGGGATGCTCCCCACCAATGACTAAGCACGGTCCAGGTTCCTTTCTGCAGGACACAGAACTGCTCTTGTGGGCAATTTTGGTTCAAGAACTCCCATGGACCTAGCCAAATACCAAAGTTTAGAATGCACTCCAGCCTGAGACATATTCCTTCCTTGCTCCCGCCTCTCCTTTCACATGTGTGAGACCTGCATGCAGGCTGAAGGCTCTCCCCACTCCTACTTCCTCCCTCTTTTTCTTCACAGGTGTTTCCTGCAGCAAAGCTCTCGGGAATCTAGTCCTGTCTTAGAAGGTGCTTCTCTAAAGACCCGAACTTCCACAATAGTCCATTCCGACTTCTAGGTGATCAAGTAAGAGATATTTTTAATATCTCCTCTTACATTTAGTTTAATTTTTATTCAAGGAGTTGGAAAGAACTGATCACAAAAGGAAAATTGTTCTTACTCCTTGATCCAAGGCACTACTAGTGTCTGAAAAGATTCTCAATAATGATAACGATAAAATCCTTCCATCTTTTGCTCTGAAATAACCAGGTAAGTGATATGGGTGGGTCTTTAAAAGCTCACTGTAGAGATCAGGAGTCCCAGGATGGTGAGGTGACTTGCCTGAAGCGATGATTGATGTGTCACTGGACAGGCATGCTAAGGACCAGCGCTGCCCAGTTCCTGGCCTTCCACATCCTCTATGTCCCATGTTATGAAACCCTACGGTTCGCCCCCAACTGCGGGACAGAATCAATTCAAGCAGCCTGAAGTGACCATTTTGAGTGACAGAATCAGACAATCCAACCCAAGGAACCTAATTTTTGCAGAACAAATAGATACCAATTCTCTGGGTGTTTCTTAACCACCTTTAACTGACTGGTTAGAGTTATTTTCAGCAACCAGGAAAACCCAGCAGGTTCTGAATATAATGCCAGTGCCGAGTATGGGGCCGAGAATACAAACAGTGTCTCACAACTACCGCCTGACTATTGTTGGATGGACTGACGTTGTGTCTCC